ATTGAAATTGTAACAGACAATTTTTAACACGAAGAATGCAACCGTTTTGATACGGTGTATATTGATGTTGTTATTAATAAAACAAATAGGGATTTTAAATAATAAGGGTACGTACGTAATTTGATATTATGTATATATTTAATTCTTTTGAATTATCAACGTGTTATATACATTTATAACGATTGTAATTCGCTGTAGGTATGGTAGAGAAATAAATGTACCTACAGGTAAATTAAAATAAGGAGGAGATGGGGTTAATAAGGACCCCCTAAAAAAAACTGTAACAAATATTTTATCCGCCGAATACAACAATTTCGTTACTACTGTAAGCTACGTGCACGCAATTATTCTTATTTTTCCTTCTTGCTTGGAAATGACAGAAAATTGTTAGAACATTTTTAATGAAAAAAATTAATTTGACGCAACAAGTCACGCATATGGAAAACTTTTTTACTGTTGATTTCTCAGAAAATTTTATTCTGGATAAAAGATGGTAAATAGTCTAAACCGTAATATAAATTAAGTGTTTGTACCTTATACGAGGGAGGTCATAAAAATATAAGTAGGTATATTAAAGTTTTTTTCGAATTTTCCTGGTGCATAGTTTTTGCAATACATTGCAAATAAAACCTAGGTTTATATTTTTTGTTTAATTACAAATAAGTGTGCACCAGTTTTAAGACATCTACTTTAGGTAAAGTTTTCCTGTTACTAGTTATTGAGATACAGGGTGTTAAACTTGTGAGTTTTCGAGATTTTCAAAAAATTCTTTTAAGACAAACGTTGTTATTTTGCTAATATTCATAAATATTAAAAGTTACGGTTTGACTCTCCTAAGATATTTTTGCTACTACCAAAATAAAATACCAACCTTTTTGAAAAACAACCATATAGGGCGAGTCATTAAATTAAATTAGAGAAACTACATTTTTACGCCTAAAATATTGATAATAAAATATTAAAAGGATTATTTATAATGTATAGTCAAATATATTCAGTAGCTCAATTATTGTGCATATTTATAAAAAATCCATAAACATCTCAATTTTAGATTATAAAATAACATCCTGCAACGTGAAAATTTCACCACTACCTTCAACCTCTTTCTAGTGACAGTTGCAACACCCACATTTTTAAATAGGAAGTAGGGTGCTTGTGATGCCTCATTTGAAAGGTCTCTTCATTCTCTATTCAAAAATGTTGCGATTTTCAAATTTATTCAAAAATTAACAGTAAAATAATACTTTCCATAAAAACCATTATCAATTCGCTATTTTTTCAAAAAAGAGGTATATAAAACACCCTTGTTTTATTTACCTCTTTTTTGAACATATAACTCACACATGGCTACTACCTTCAACTTTAATCGCTATTTTTTTATTATAAAAGAAATAAAATTAAAAATTAGTTCTTTTTATGACAATGACTTTTATAATCCTGTACCTACCCTTCAATTGTATTAAAAAAAAAACTTCGGAATAAAATTATTTAGCGACGAGAACACACGGTGTATTCTAGTGGGAAGTAAATTAGTAGTTCCAATAAATAAAATAGACGATAAAGATGGTTCTGAAAGAAAGGAGAAGAAAATAAAAAGATGAAAAAGGAGACGCTGGCAGTGCTGCCAATTTAAAAACGACTCGACGAGACGGTGTACCTGCTTGACAAGACAATGAAACTGGGAGCAAGCAAATTCAATTAACCTAATTCCTTTCTGTCGACTTTCCGATTTCTTAAGGCCCAATGGTAGACCTAAATAGGTATATTATATATCGCCTTAACCCATTAGAAAACCATAAGAAATTATATTTTAAAGGACATCTGAATATTAAAAAAAAAAAATACTTATTTTTATTTCAAGTACACATAAATTAACACATTTCCACTAAACTTCATAAATGTACTTCTAGTTTTTGTTGACATTGTTGCCACATGTATTTTTTTTCTTGAGAGTGTCAAAAAACTATGAACTTTTTTTGTATCAACATTGTGAGCTTATTTTTAACATCCTTTTCCATCCTTTTCCAAAAAATGTATACATTACGCTATTTACTCAAATTTTTAAGGAAACATTTAGGAACTTCAAAACGTAATACTTTACATTTAACAGCGTATAATTCGAAATTCGACTGAAATTCTTAGAAATTATACAATTTTTTCAAACACGGTTTAAATTTTCGGAAAAAAAATACTTTTTCAAATTCAGATTAAGAGCTTACGGCGAATGGAACGTCCCTTATGTCTATTTATTTGCAAACCATTATCCGTAAATCATGTGAGGTCTTAAATCGCGTTTGGGCCTTAAGAGATAGCAGTAACTGCATCAGTGATAAAGTAAGTTGGGTAAATCAGAATAATGGAGATGCCGTACCAGATAGACGTAGAACGTTTGTTTTGTTTTTCCAAACCTAACGGTAAAACTACAATAGGATACGATTGGATGGAATATATTAAATGCAAGGAAAGTAGACAAAATATCTATATTTAGTGCATTTAGAAAATTAATTTTTTTTAAGTAATTACAGAAAAAATGTTACCAGTTTTGTTAACAAGAACGTAGTAGTTTTATCTCTCTAATGATTTTTATAATACTAATCTTTTTCGATTACAAATTATAAACTTTTCAAATATTTGGTTTGAAAGGTATTTATTTTTGGTAAGTAATAATAATTTTTATAATTCATTAGGTTATTGATTATTTTAGACCTTGGAAAAAGTGTTATAACCTATATTTCGAAAAGAATAATACAAGCTTAGCAAGGACATTTTCATCATAAGCAGAGGCACCTTTATTGGTGCGGGTCTTAAAAAATTTGGTAAAGTCCGATTACAATTTTAGAAGAACACAGCTACGTCATCATTTGGCAAAGTAATTAATTAGTTATCCCCGCCTATTGGGGGTTTAGTAGAGTGTTAATATTATAGGAATATAGGAAATATTGGTTTATACTTAAAAAAATTACTTATTTTTTATTTATTGATAGTTATAGATAATATAATTCGAAGTAATGGTTATGACGTAGCATGTTCTTCTAATTGTAATCGGACCTTATTTGGAGAAAGATATTAAATGCTCTAAATTGAATTTTTGGTCCATTAACGGTGTTTTTTTTTTTGTTATTTTGTTAGTATTTCTATTGTTAAGTATTCAAAAAAAAATGCTTAATTTAATAAAACTGTACGCAACTGGGGTAATTTGTTTCTACATAAATGCATAGTATTTCATATAAACGGGTCATCGTATCTATGCAAAAATATACTGACTCAACGCTAAATTTAACCAGTTTAATTTTATGATATCAAGAACAATGAAAAGACGAATTGTTTTAAATCAATGGGAAAACCCGACATTTTTTATGGAAATATAGGCATAAGAAGTATCAAGGGCGGTGCAGTTTGTTGTACATTTTCTTATTTGAGAAAGCACCATTGGAAAATAAAATAAATAAACAATATTTCTTCATAAATATTGTTGCAATGCTATTGTTAAGTACTGAAGTATGTGTAAATAGAAAGATACAACAAATACCATTCATTTTAATTCGTGATAGTTTTATTGTCAATATTTTTATCGAAAGACAGTGCAGTATTTAAAGGAAAAATAGGGACTCTAAACGAGGACTTATCATGATTACATCAATTTCACTTTCATAGTGCAAGGACGAAATAACGCAAGGGCAAAATAGCGCAAGAACAAAATAGCGCAGAACAATATAGCGCGTGATAAAATATTCCAGTACTCCAATTACAATTTAAAGAATCTGATGTGTCTAACACGTGATTTTCCTATCTAGTTATTATAGGCCTTTTCCGGTTATTTTGTACAACCTATTGCAGCACCTCTATAAATGTTTAGAGGATAAACTAAATATATACATTTTCCACATACATCTACCTCGAAACATTTTTCTATAGATATTCATTGAAAACGAAAATACTGAAAAATTTAAATTTAGCACTTTTTCTACAATTTTTCCATTACGGTCCATTTTAAAAAAATCATGTATAAACAAAAATTATAGAGATCGATATCGCAAACAACTTTTAGTTCAACAATTTTCATAAAAATCAGAATTTTGCACATTTTGCCAGGAAATTTTGACATAAAGCAAAAATTATAGATAATAATATTAGGAGTAACTTTTATTTGAACAATTTTCTTTTCCAAACATAAATAACAGATATATTCCATAAAATATAAAAACGGCCTCCCATAAAGTACCCCCCCAGATGTTCCGACTTTGTCCAAAATCTAATCATTTCACGTTAGGCCGAAATAAAACTTAAGTTTAAAATTTAATGTTTTTTTCTTCATCCGTTTTTGAGTTTTCTTCAAAATTGGAAATTTACACATTTTCTCAAATATCTCGAATACGGTCCATTTTAGATAAATTATGTATAGGATAAAAATTATAGAAAATTATATTACAAACAACTTTTATTTGAACAATTTTTATAAAAAAATATTTTTTTTTACATTTTGTCAAATTTCTCGAGTACGGACCATTTTAGGAAAATTTTGTATAGAACAAATTATAGATAATAATATTAGAAGTAACTTTTATTTGAAGAATTTTCTTCTCCGAACGTAAATAACAGATATATTTGTTACGCATTATTTCAATGAATAACAATTAAAAATCAACATATCTTGTTCATTTGTGCTATTTTATCCTGCACTATTTTACCGTGCGCTATTTGATTCTCGCGCTATTTTATTTTACGCTATTTTGTTCTCGCATTAATTTATTTTACGCTATTTTGTCTTGCGCTATTTTGTCTGCGCTCTTTTGTCCCTTGCTGTTTTCTCATGAAGCTCATTTTTAAAGCTGTATTTGTAAAAATTTGATTTACTGTACCATATTTAACATCTATTAAATATAATATTTAATTTTCAAGACACCTACGCCACTGTCTAAAACCCTAATGAGTTATTCTTTATTGCATTCGAATATATAAAAGCCAATGTGAAACCTTTTAAATGAGCATTTAATTAAAAGTCGCACATCGAAATGAATCAGGTGTGTATTTTGTTAACGATATTTTTGATATGTTACAATAATTACTGTGTCTTGGCCGGAGGCATTGGCTTCAATACTTCCGATATTAAAAATGGAAACTGCGTGATCGCAACTCCCGCGGATTTGGTTAAAACCGAACACGTTCACAAAACGGGAATTCCGTTCATGACTCGGTCAGCCACGGTAAGTAGTTTATATTTTGTTTTTCTTTATTTTTTATTCAGAATTTTAATAAATATTTTTTTTTTATTGTCTCCAAATAAATACAATTACAATCTGTTCTCTTGAGAACAATAGTAAGTCATCTATAATAGTAAATGTTTATGATATGCAGCCAGATCTAATCAAACTTAATTTAAAGTCTCGAGAACATTGGGATTATCATTTATTTAATTTTTTTTTGTAATTTTCACTGAACTTTTTCACGTAATATTTCTTAATGGTCAGGACTTGTAGGTTTTTTCCTGTGAATATATTTGATACTTAACAAGGTGCATTGCTAAAAATCCTTAGGACTTTGTTTTAAAACCTCTAGATTAGGTAAAGTAAAAACCATAAAAATATCCGAGAGAATAATAAACCAAATATTCATCTTTAATAAATTAAATTATGCAATATAATATCTAACAACGAATATCTGACGAGAAGCGAATAAAATTATACATTTAGAAATAATCGAAGACAATTATGTATCAGCATGAGAACTATTGAATAAAAGGTAAGAAAATGAGAGATTCATGAACAACATAATGTAATATAACTGTAAAATTCTAATCATGGTCCAATTAGCAAAAGTTTAAAAATTTGAAAAACCTATGGAAGAAGCAAACTTCAGCATGAAGAAATACAAAAGAATGAAGTTCTTTTGCCAACCTTAATAGCACAGGTTCAACAAAATTTATATTCAGACCCAAGAGCATCAACGATTTAAAACAAAATCGAAGCAATTGGTCAACCACACAACCACGAACTTCCTCTCGATTGAAGTTCTTCATACTCAAACCCAAGAAAGCATCAAAAACTTCAGAGTTAATGGAGTTCTAAAAAATCGACCTTCAAACTACTGTCACGTACATACATTTTCTATATCTTCAGTGGTATGGCAACAGCTACACATTCCCAATACATTGCTGTTTCTCACGGACAAACCTACAATGATATTAGAGACATTTTATTGAACATTACAGGTCTACCACTAGCATCACCACGCTAAGATGGTCGAACTAAAGAGACTAGCGTCAGTCAGGAACGAAAATCCTCGTGAATCAAGATAAGATTCGCCAGTATTAGTGATGGGAAGATCCGGTTCATCTTGACGACCCGGGTCAGACAAGGTCAATCATTTGAATGACCCGTTCACAAAGATTCGTTCATATGAACGATATGATCAGTGAATAAGAATTTATACATCGCCTATGATTTGCACAGTACGCGCTGATGGTAAGTCTGTGATGGTAAGACTCTGTCGGCTCTTTTTATGAACCGGATCATAATGGTTACAGTCTGGTCTCATCTCAGTTTATTGTTAAACATTCGTAATTTGTAACAGATATAGATAGATACAGATTTATGATTATGACTATATTATATTATGAAGCCTTTGTACTTTTTACTTCTTTCTCGTTTCAGTGTTTAATCGATCGCGATCACGAATCACTACCACGTCACCACGATCATCGTTCACTACATTACATTTTCAGTCATTCATTATATTCTGTTCAGTCACCAATCAATCGGTGAAAAAACAGCTCTTCAATTCATAAGCACATTAAAAATCTCATAAATAAACAGGGTCATATGAACGATAGGGTCACGAAGAGTGATTGAATCGATCACGGGTCTTCGGGATGATTCGTTCTTTTTGAACGGGTCGTTCATGAACGACACATCGCTAGCCAGTATGTTCAGATTTTAACATTTTTCTTTAGAAGTTTGTGGTTTCAAACGATACATCAACTTTTTTAAATGGTTCGTGTGTATGCAATATATACTTTGTATGTGTATATCTATAAATATAATAATTTTATGATTCAATTACAGTGGGTTTATTAATGCCTAATTCATTTCATAGCTTTTTTAAATTTATTGCAAAACACTTTATCATCTTTAGAAATTAATAAGTTCAAAATTAGAAAATCTTTTTAATAACTATCCATTTTTTATTATTTACCACTTAAAGCAGATATCTCGTGAAAATAATCTATTTTTCATATTCTACTGTTCCACTATACACGGTGTCCCAAATTTTATTACACCTGAATATCTCAGTTGTTGTAAAAGAGAAGTTATGGTCCAAGAATAGTAGTTTGTGCAACAAAAGTAGTTATGAATAATCCACACGAGTTGTACAATATATTTTTCTAAGACCCACTAACGAAAATGTACAAATTTTAAAAATAAATTTAGAGGTTATTAAGATAAAATATAACTTGAAAAAAAATGTAGTCTTCAATCCAGTGTTTCACCAAGCCAAGTAGCTTGGCCTGAAAACAAAAAGGTTGGCTTGGCTTGAAAATCAAGCTTTTTTAAAATAAAAAGCTTGGTTTGGCTTGATTTTTATAAGTCCTGGCTTGGCTTGTTTACCAAGCTTTATCAAGTTTTCAAGCTTTTTTCCCCACCTTGCCGATCACGTGTTAAGTCTACTAACCGTTCTCTCGCCGCCCTTTGTTTTAATGTTCAATTCAGTCACTGCTAGCCTTTCGAAGCAAGTACTTACAAATATGAGCGCCACCAATATATCAGATATCGAGGAACCCTTTCAAGACAGCGGTTTTGAATATGTGGAAGGTTTGTCTTCTAGCATTCCTCGCAAAGAACATATTCGAATTAAGTCCCAAAAAACAATTAAAAACATAAAGGTCCCTAATTTTTTTAAAATTAGTCAATAAACAACTTATGTCTGTAGGTAGGAAAATTAGAAGTAACTAAAATCTGTTGACCTACAAAGAGGTCCATAAAAAAATATATTTATTCATTGCAACACTGAAACATCTTTCTTTTCGGACATCTGATATACTGGTTGCGTAATAAAATTTGGGACATCGTTTATAACAATAATAATTAATAATATTTAATAATTATTATGTAGTGAAGTTTTGTTCTCAAATTTTTCTCCTTGTTTCAGTCTGAATGGCTTGGAAACAAGAAGATCTATTGTCTGCAAGTTATGAACCAGAAGCCAAGCAGTGATGGTTCCACCGTATCCATTACGAGTGGAGGCGTTGGATACAATTTCGTTAAGTTGGCTATGAAGTCTACAAAAGGACACGGTTTGGATTATAATATACAGATATACGCAAAATTATACTTTTAAATAAATTCAAATTATTAATAAATAATAATATATATATAAATATTTATGATGTAAAACGTTGTAATTAAAGAAGTTAAACTATTAATTTTTTTTATTTTATATTTATTTGGAAATAATAATCAGACAAGTTGCGTAGTCAAAATATACTACAGAGTATCTACATTAATAAACCTAAAAGTAGTGGAACTAGGACTTAGAGCAGGCCTGTACAACTGAGATGTTCAAAGGGCCAGTTCAAAAAAACAAAAAGGGACGTAATTTTTTTTTTTGCGTGGGAATCAATTTATAAAGCAGGTCGAGGTCTTCTATTAAGCTTCTAAAAAAAGAGTCAGCTTATAATGAACCAGGTCCTTCTATCGAACTCCTAAAATAGGCAATTGATACCTAAATACAATTTTGTTACTGAAAAATGTACCTATGTTTGACGTAGGCGGGCCAAATTGTTAAAGGGGCAAAGGGCCAAGAAAACGACAATGGCGGGCCGTATGTTGTGCAGACCTGACTTAGAGGATTATAAACAAACTATTCATCGAAAAGACAAACATAAAAAATCGTTAGTTCACAGCACAAAAGAACCTAATAAATAATATGAAAGAAACAACAAATGATGCGTTTGAAAAGTACCTCGTTTTGCTATTTTTACTCGAAACCATTATTTTTCTCAGTTTGCTTCATTGATATGGTTTGCTCGATCTCACGGGATCAAAAAATCTACTCGCTCTGCTCGAGGAAGTGGACATTTCAAACGTAGCATATATTATAGCATCTACTTTATTTCACCGATGGTCAAAATAAATACAACTGCGTGGAAAATACTTATCATAATTCCATTTACGTGTTTAGTGTTCCGTCAATCTCTCACAATTATTATCTTTTAATTATAATCAGCTTCGAGCCGATAAATATGATAATTACGAACGTATTTTGCAGAATGCATATTAAATATTTTAATCGGTTTTTCTTGAGTCATACCACGTACGTTGACAGACAAATATCACAAGTCTGAGGATAATACAAAACGAAAAAATATCGATAAATCGATATGATTATTATTATACCTATCCAGTGTTCGTAAACAAGCGATTGCGTTTAAAAGAAACAACAAATTGATTTATACGACTTAATGAGTGTGATTGATGGTGATGATGATGAATGGTAGATGGGTATAGAGGCATTTAACACGTCAATCGCTGCGTAAGAATAAAAGAATCTGCTTTTTTTATTGATTGCTTTGGTGATAATCTCAAAGCCATCAATGAGGGAAAAAATTATTATTTGTCTTCGGTGAGCCCAATGGAAGATATTATCACGGTATCCGAGGAGTTACCCCAAAGTAAAAAACACATTAGTAATGTTTTAGTTTTTGATATTCTTGGATAGTATAGAGGTTTTATTTTTTATTTATTACTCTTCGAAAAATGTTAAAAATTATTGCATGGTGACATTTAGATATTAAAATACAATGATTCCCTTCGTGAAATATATGTAGGATCAATTTTTTTGTCCCCCCTTGGGATAAAATCTATTTTCTAGACAATCAAAACAATATCTAGAAAACAGGGTGTAATATGTACTTAAATAACACTAAAAATAATCTAACCACTTAAAAAACATTAATTAAAAACAGAGCATGTATTTGATTATGAAAACGTTAAAATCTTAAGACACTGAATTAACTTTTAAAAAGGGAGAATTTTTAGAAATAGTACATATTAAAAAAAATAATATGTGATATAAAATATCATAATTAAATCTTTTACAATCTCCTTTAATCAAATATTACAACTTTAAATTAAATAGCATAAAAAGCATAAAAATATATAATAATAAATTTCACTACCATAATTACTAAAATTTAAATAATACAAGACCATAAACTAGACATAGTAAAAGACACATGAAAAATTTGTAAAAATTGGAATGTTTTATATTTTATGAATATAAAATGACGCTATTTTCTAAAAATTTAAAATAGTTGCATGTTAGAAACTACACAAACATTTTGAAATCGTTCTAAAAACAATTCATTATAATCGGACCTGATGAGGACACAAAAAAGAAAAAAAAAATAATACATATTTAGTTAATCTGAAAGGTATGTGAGACAAAAACTAAGGAAAAAATACAATTTTTCTTGATCTAACGTCCAAACAATATGTCCGCCCCTTCATGCAAAAAGATAAGATGCAAATCATATGTAAAGTCTCGGAAATAATACCCCAAGTCCTTTCGCTTTATTTAACTATTAAATGTAAAATGGATGAAACAAAAAGTTACTAGATTTTAGCACGTCGTAGATTAATTACACCATGTTATTATGTCAGGTGACAGTTATCAAAATAATTTTGAATTTGGCAATTTGTTAAAAATTTGTATATTTTGATATTTCAAAAGTGTAAGTATTCAACAAAATGGTGAAACGATTTAGTGATCAATCAAAACTTTAATTCCAAAACTGTCTATAGACTTAGTAAACCAATAAAATCTGATAGAGAGTATGTGAAAATAAAGAGTAAGCCAAAGTAAAACAAAAGTCAATTCTTTAATATTAAGTAAGTTGAGGCAAGTTGTATATAAAATGTACGAAAGTGAAATCGTTTACACTTTTCCTCAATTTTTTTCATTATCGTCCATTTTAGAGAAATGTATAAACCAAAAATTATAAAGAATGGTATAATTTTTACACTTTTTCTCAAATTTTTCCATTACGGTTTATTTTAGAGAAATCATGTATAAACCAAAAATTATAGAGAATGATGCACAACTGTGAAGAAATTTATTCTCCAATCGTAAATAAAGTAAAAAAAAACGAAACCCTATAAAGTACCCTCCAGATACCTCACCATTGCCCAAAATTTAATCAGCTCATCATAGGATGTTGTAAAACTTAAGTTTAAAATATGGTGTTTTCTCTTTATCTGTTTTTGAGTTATCTTCAAAATTTCAAAACTCGAAATTTGCAATTTTCCTCAAATATTTCGAATACGGTATATTTTAGGGAAATCATGTATAAAGTAAGAATGATAAAAAAGGACATCACAAACAACTTTGAACAATTTTCTGAAAAATTCGAATTTAGCAATTTTTGTTAAATTTCTCGAATACAAATCATTTTAGAAAAATTATGTATAAGACAAAAATTATAGAAAAAAATTATGATTCTTATATACAGAGTGTTGAAATTAAAGTGTTACAGTTAAATACCGCCGAAAATATGCATTTTAGAAAAAAAGTTTCAGACAAGAGTTTTATAGTTTTTTGGGGGAAACATTTTGGCTAAAATCATTTTTTTATAGCTGACCATAATATGGCCATATCGACGTGAACTTTGTTTTTTTAAATGGGAATCCCATTTTTTTTTACATATTCTTAAAGTACATAAAAAAATAAGAAACTTTTGCTGGAAATATTTTTTTATTAGACTTTTACTTTTTGAGTAACAGCTACTTGAAAATTTTGCTGGGCGAAAAAAAAGTTGACCATATTATGGTTAGCTATAAAAAAAGATTTTGGCCAAAATTTTTTCCCCACAAAACTATAAAACTTTCGTCTGAAACGTTTTTTTTATAAAAGGCGGTATTTAGCTGTAACACTTTAATTTGAACACCCGGTATATATACAAACTGACAGGAAAGTAAATATGGCATAGGTAGACAAACATTATTACAAATAAAAGTGACAAAATCAATTGATATTCGAAAATTGAAATGCATTTTTGGAAATATATGGAAATATACAATTATGAAAAATTCCTACATCCCCAAAGTGAAAACAAACCAATGAAAAATTGAAAAAGCTAAAAAATAATGAAAATAAAAAATGAATGCAACGTCCAGGGATCGAACCTGGATCTCAAGGCAAGATTCAATCAGCTCAGTTCACTCTTCATCTTCACACCAGACAAAAGAGGAGACGCCAGATGTGAGCACTTCACGTAGAGTTATGGACTGTACAGTTCAAATCTCACAACAATCATAGCGTGTAGGACCTTCATAAGATCGTCGACACCTCTACCAATTGGACCATCAAAGCATGTGGCTGCGACAATCGAATTTGTAAATTTGAAATCAATCAAATTCCGACTCTCGTCGACTCACACACATTCTTCTTCCCTCCCAGCTCTCCCAATTATTAAAGTCACCCTTGTGACATCGTATAGCACGACATCAATTTCAGATTGTACTAGAATACATTTCTAAGTTCACCGGTGTTAACAGTGCCACTATACTCGAAAACTTAATATTGGTGAACGAATAAAGGATCTTAGAAATGTATTCTAGTAAAATCTGAGGTGGGAATTCTTCTACACCATAATTTACATATTTAAAAAAAAGTATTAGTACCTAATGTTATTATTTGTCTTATGCAACAAATGCAGAAAATGACTAATTCCACACTATGTTTTTTGTTCAATTTCAGTTTAAATCTTATTTATTATAAAAATTAACAGTACAGACTTAAAATTAGAAATACTAATTGGTTGTAAATATGCTGCGGAGAGTATTGTTATTATTTTTACTACTACTAACTCTTGCCGGCGGCTTTGCATGCATGGCGTCGTTATTTAATATAAAAAAATGCATTACTATTCACATTTATTCGCATTTATTCTTATTTATGTGTATTCTCTTCTATTTCTCCTCTTTTTCATCTTTCTCCCCTTTCTCCCCTTAAAATATGAAAATTTAAAATCACTGAAACACGTCATAATTTATTTGTGATGAGTAGCTATAATTTCAATTTTCAAATTCCTACCCTTAAAAAAATCGATACTTTTATACAAACTTTCACCCCATTTCCCCCCTTAAAATGTGAAATTCCAAAAAACACATAATTATTTATGCTTAGTAGCTGTATTTAAAATCTGATCCCGTGCTATGTGAAAAACAAAACAAATCTATCCCACGGGAACAGTACATTTTTCCCGGATAAAAAGTAGCCTATGTGATATTCCAGACTATAATCTATTTCTGTGCCAAATTTCATCCAGGCCCGTTCAGCCTTTTGGGCGTTATTGATTTTGTGTAGTAGTCGTAGAAAAAGTGTATTTTTCAATTTACTAATGAGAGTTTCTTCAGCTAAATA